TAGATCTATTAATGCCCTGGAGTCAAGTTGGTGAAATGAAATACCAGGCACTTGTGTGTCATCTAGGAGGTAGCAACAGCAAAGTAGCTGACTGTTCCCCTTCTTCCTAACAGACATGCTCAGCCTTTTTGATGACCGTGGGGAATGTTAATAGTCAAACCAGCAGGTATTACCAAGAATTTTCTTGCTTCATCTAAAAGTACATATGAGTTGAGGTTCCCAACATGAAAAATGTTTTCTTCCCCTCTCCACGATACCTTGGTACCTTCAGATCTGTTAAAAAGATCATACACAGGGCTCATGGCATTGTGTCCCCCGGAACACGAGTTGGCATATAGCCTTTCTGAACATGCTATTTCTGGAAGCCTTGATTTAAGCTCAGGTGGTGATCTCAGGGTCTTAGGGTTAAGCCCCGAGGGGGGCTCTGTGCTTACTGTGGAGCCTGCTTGGGATTTTCTTTCTCCCTGTCCCTCTGCCCGCCCCCCTCCACCCCTCCACCCCTCTCCTGCATGCATGGACTCCTGCCTCTCAAATGAATCTTTAAAAAATATATATTTTTAAATGCTGGTCTGCTGCGTATTGGCTGTGAGACTTTGAACAAATCCTATAATCTCTCTGAATCTCATGTTTCTTATTTTTAAATGGTGATAATAAGACATCTCATATGGCTATTGAGAACTAACTAGCAAATGACCAAATTAAAAAAAAAGAATGTTGACCTCAGGCTGGGGTCTTGTCAGGCACTCCGTCAGAGGTGGCTGCCGCCGTCGCGTTGTTGCGGACCTGTTGTGTTTCAGGAACCTCCCTCCGCGGTGGCAGCCAGGTGGCCGTCAGGGGCCTGGGTCTCCTCTGTGCAGAGGCCGTAGTGTGTGGCCCGGAGAAGATTAACCTGAGAGGATCTGCCTGGGGGAGGCTGGGCCTCGAGTCTGGCAGTAGGTGCAGGTAACGGGCAGTTGGCAGTCAGGGGTAGGCAGTGGCTCTTGGTGAGGCGGGAATCCTCCCCTGTGAGGAATCTGCACCAGGCGAGGGGGAGAATCGAGGTGAGGGAGGAAGCGAGTGAGAGAGGGAGGCAGGGCCTCGAGCAGGCGCCTCAGTGGAAGACGTGGCTTCGCTGCCCGTGCTGCAGCTCCGGGCGTGCTACCACGCACCCCTCAAAGTCCGGGGAGCTGTGCCGTTCCCTGGGTCTTCTCTCCGTGTTCACTTTCCTCAGTCCCTGGAAGGCCCAGAGCAAGTGCCTGGGCAAGCTTGCCCCCGCCATGCTTCACGCCTGTCTGCAGACCCCGTGGCGACCCCGAGTGTGAGAGGCGGGCCACAGTTACAGGCCCCGCTACCTGGGAAAGCTCTAAGGAGCTGCCTGAGCATATGGGGTTTGAGGAAGGGGAAAAGGAGTCAGTTACTTGTATTTCCCAGAGATCTGTCGGCCCTCTGCTCTGTCGGTGCAGGGGTGCCCCCACACAGCTCCTGGGGGCTGCACAGCTGGCTGCCCTTCCTTGGCTTCAGGCCTGGGAAAGTCCATCCTGGGTCAGGGCTGCAAGTTGTCCTGGATGCTTGAAGGAAATTTGTCTGGGAAAAAGCTCAGTAGGTAATACGTGCCTTTTCAGTACTGGCTTTCTGGAAACAATGGCTCACCTCTCTTGTGTAATCCAAATTGGCCATTTGACCAGATTTCACCCCGTGAAATAAATGTTTCACAGTTTCGGTGTAGAGAATTCTTTAATTGAAACAAGTCATCCCAGAGGGAAAAGGAGATAGCTCTTGCAATTCTTCTGTATTTGTGATTCCTAAATTGTTTCCAGTTCATCTTCAGTTTTTCCTTCACCTGTGCTTCAAGCACTTATTGGGCACCACTGTTTGCCAAGCATGGTATTAGGCACTTGGTATTAGGCACTAAAAGAGATGGCCTTCTGGCCCTATGTGTTACAGCCTCACTGGACAGCCCCTTGAGGAGCAGGAAGCTATAGGAGTCTGGAAGGTTCTCAGCGTGAGGCCTGCCGAGAAGCCATCCAAGCTCAGAAGAGGGATCTCTGAACAGAGTGTATGTGGTTAATGGACAGAGTTGTGTCCTCCCAAATTTCCTGTGTTGAAACTCTCACCTCTCTTGTGACTGTAGTTGGATATAGGGCTTTTAGGAGGTATCTAAGGCTATATGAGATCATAGGGTGGGGTCCTAATTCACCAGGATTGGTGGCCTTATTAGAAGAGGATGAGAGAGAGATCTGTCCACATGCACACACTGAGGAAAAACCATGTCAGCAGACGCGGGAAGGTGGCCATCTGCAACCAGGAAGAGCACTCTCACCAGAGCCTGACCTCGCTGGCATCCTGATCCTAGATTTACAGCTTCAAGGACTGTGAGAAAATAAATTTCTGTTGTTCAGGCTATGGTATTAGTTATGGCAGCCTGAGCCAACTAAGACAGTCTGTGTGTGTTGGGGGGTGACAGGGTCAGGGGAGCTTTCTAGAACTGTTGGCATTTCACCTGCCCCTGGAGAACTGTCTGGCTTTGTCACCAGACCTTAAAGAAAACGTGTAGGGCTGGCTTCTTGTACAATCTAAAATTATTGAACAGAAGCATTTCCTCTGTGAAGTCTGGGATGGCTTCTTGAGGACCCGACAAAGTCAGTACAATCCTCTCCTTCTACTTGGTCCCATCAGAGCCCAGATTAAATCCCACCACTTCTGCAACGCTTCTGGCACTATCCATAATAGAACAGACATCTCTTTCCTTGGGAATTAGTCTAAACCCAATGACATTTTCATTAGCAAGAGCATCTGGCTTTGAGCAAGTGCTTAGCGTAGGTCTTGTTGAAAATTTTAGGTTGATACGTGTCTTAACCAGACTGCATTCTCGTTTCCACATTTCTTACTGCGTGTGGATTTACTGAGGACTCATCTGACTTGTTTGCTGGAAAGAATGGAAGTAACTCGATGGGCTTTAAAGGTATTTTTTTTTCCTTTAAACTCTGTCGCTCAATGTTGAGGAGATAAAAGGTGGAGGAGGAAGGGTAAAGGCAGAGACGTGAGATAGGAAAGGACTGGGAGAAGCAGAGAGATCACCTTTACCTACCAGTATCACCAGTGCCAGCCCCCTGCCAGCTCCTAACCCTTAGACACCTGAGGCCTGAGAAGAGTGGCACCCACAGGCCTGTGGCACAGGGTCCTACTTTAAGGAACAAGCTGCATATTGCACCCTCTGTGCCGCTGCAGCGAGCCAGCGGAAGCCTCTGTGGGGGGACCCTCACCAAAGGGGGGTGTGAGCCTCTAGGGCCAAGTGAAGGGGCTTATGGAGAGCACTGAGCACTCCTGCTGCTTGGAGGGAGGTCCCCCCTCCACAGGGCAGAGACAGGAGGGATTGAGAGAAGGAGATCGCACCTAACCAGGTTGATAGGATTCCTCTTCTTGGCCTGGTCTGCTGACAGCCCTTCAGGACACAGGACCCACATGAGTTCAAGTGTGGCTTGCTCCCTGGCTTGCACAGAGAGATTTGGAAATACAGTCTTGAAACGCTCCCATGAGCTTCAAGAAGAGGGTGACACATGGCCGGGTAGGTAGGATGCAGAGTTAGAACCCATTGATAACATCTCTGGAGAGTTCTTAGGGAAAGCATACTTATCCATGCAAAGCCGGTGAAGAAGGAAAATAGGCCATTCTACAATGGACAGATGAAAGATTGACCATCTCCTCATTTTCAAACTTCACAGGACTTCCCTTCAAGGCTAACACAATCCTGGGTTATTTGACAAAAGTATAGCTTAGTGATTTTCAAGTAAAGCTCATAAGTGAATTAGGAATCATTTAGACCTATTATTATGTGTCTCTCTATTTATTTATTTATTTTTATTTATTTTTGTTTTGTTTTGTTTTTTGTTTTTTATTTATTTATTTATTTAGTTAGTTAGTTAGTTAGTTTTTTTTTGGGGGGGGGGCAAATACTCCTAAGTGTTCTAACTTCATATAGACAGTGAAACTGAGGAACTAGGAAGAGTTACATAGCAAATCAGCCCTACCTTTTACCTTTCTGAAGTATATGCAGCTTTTCCAGCTTACATGTTCTCCAGATGTATGCCTGTTTACTCTCCGGGAGACGATGTGGCGTATATGCAACATGTATGATTTTAGGACATAAAAAACCGTTGGCGGGATGAGCACTGGGTGTTATGCTAAATGTTGGCAAATTGAACTCCAATTTAAAAAATTAAAAAAAAAAAGCCCTGGATCTTCTAGACCTTATGGACTGTGTGACTTAGGGGAAATTCTTGAACAAATTCTTGAACTTGAATGCATTTTGAACATTAATTTCCACATGTGCAAACCAGAGATAGAAGTACGTCCCTCAAACATTATATGGTCTCATTCATTTGGAGAATATAAATAACAGTGAAAGGGAATAGAAGGGAAGGGAGAAGAAATGGGTAGGAAATATCAGAAAGGGAGACAGAACATGGAAGACTCCTAACTCTGGGAAACGAACTTGGGGTGGTGGAAGGGGAGGAGGGCGGGGGGTGGGGGTGACTGGGTGGCGGGCACTGAGGGGGGCACTTGACGGGATGAGCACTGGGTGTTATTCTGTATGTTGGCAAACTGAACACCAATAAAAAATAAATTTATTATTAAAAAAAAAGAAGTACGTCCCTCAAATGTTCATGAGGATAAACAACCCGGCGTTTTAAAACCTAGTACACTGCTTTGCTGAATAATTTAGAGGAGGAGGAGAGAAAGTTCCCATTTTCAATTATAACATCTTTTTAATAGTGAAGGACCTAGTTAATGAAATAGATAATCATTATTTCAAAGAAGTGCTTTTCAACCTCTCTACAAGATGCAAATTCCAGTTAACGTGGCCATAATCATCCTCATTGGCCCCACTTCCCCTTCAGATATGTATATAAGAACATTGCATTCCTACATTGTTAAGCATAGCTTAAACTATGGCCTTGCATCTTCAAAACGTATATGAGAGATACACAGAATTTGCCCACTGTTTTCTGATTAATGTTTAGATGGCCTTGCCACCTCCCAGAAGCTGGAGCGACAGAGGGAGAAGTGGGAGAGGAACCACTGGCCCAGGAAAGGTCTGTCTCGGCGTTCCATCAGCAAAGAGCGATGGGTGGAGACGCTGGTGGTGGCTGACACGAAGATGATCGAGTATCATGGGAGTGACAGTGTGGAGTCCTATATCCTCACCATCATGAACATGGTATGTCAGACTCTGGGGTAGGGAGAGGCAGCTGGCAAACAGGTGTCACCTTCCAAAAATCAGAGACCTTTTTTGTTCTTTTCATATATATGTTTACACACACACACACACACACACACACACACACACACATATGAATCTGTTCCCTGCCTAAATGAGGAAGGATGGAAATTCAGGACATTTGTCTGTTTTTAAAAAATGTATATCCTAGGGAAATTTGGAATTTGTCACATATCTCCTACTAGGTATTTCTCGAGTGACTCAATCCTTGTAGTGTGAGTTTATCTCACCAATTATGTTAGCGCACAGATAAGTAAATTGAGGCAAAGAATTAGAGCATGATTTCCTTAAGGTAATTAGAATAAAGTTAATGACTCTGATTCCAACCTTCCCTTTTGCATTCTTGATGTTTCTGCCTTCTCAGAGAAAGTATTAGTCTTTTTGAGTTGGGGAAAGGTATTTGCCTCAGGAACTGATAATAAAAGAAAGACCTGGGTCAGGGAAAGGGTCAAAGAGAAGAAAAGCACCAGCGCCTCAAGCACACAGCTGGTCAGTCACATTGGGAAGGTGGCCTTTAAGTATCATAATGTGGATTGGACCAGGGGCATCTCTCACTCCTTGTTGTACTCGCCCCAGAATTCCTGACCTCTAAGATGACATTTCCTCTAAGTGCATCACAATGCCATTTCCCCCTCCTCTGGCATTTATCTGTTACCTATACATGTGAGCTCATGGTTTTTCATTTCTGACTCTAGGTCACTGGGTTGTTCCATAACCCAAGCATTGGCAATGCAATTCACATTGTTGTGGTTCGGCTCATTCTCCTTGAAGAAGAGGAGGTAAGGAAGAGTTTCTCTCCATTCTTCTGACCTATACCCTTACACGCCCTACCTCCTGTTTTCAGGAGAGCTCTTGATAGATAAGAAAGGGGGTACCAGGAAAGTGTTTAGAAACCCATTGAGAAGGAAAATAATATTTTTATATTATTTTCTTGGGAATTCTGTGCTATCAAGTGGAAGATGGAGGATGTCTCTGAGATATATATATATCATTAGAATTACCTGACAGTCATTTCATCTAGTAACACACAGATCAGATTTACAGCAGTGACTTAGAATGTTCCACAGTGAAAAAGACTGAATCACGAAACGGTTGCATGGTTTCAGTAAAAGTTAGGAGGCACATGGAAATGTGGAACGCTTTATACTGTTTATTTACCTCATGCATATTAACACATATCCCTCAACTCTGGGCTGTCTTGTCTCTCTGTACGTTTACACTCGGGAATGTCATCTGTTCTCAGAGCCTTACAGGTCTTCTACATGCTGAGATTCTCAATTGCTCTTTCAAACCTGGACCTCTTACTTGTGCTCCAGACTCACATCCAGTTGCCTATTTGACATCTCACCCTGGATGTGTCAGAGCCCACTCAGACTTGCAAACTCAGTAAGTCCACAGAGGCATTCTTGATTGCTCCCTGCCCAGATCGTCTCCTTTCTGCCTCCCCTCCATTCTCCAACCCTCCATGTCACCCATCTCGGTAAATATTGCCACTGCACACCATGGCATAAGCCTTGGAGTCATTCTTGAATCCCCCTTTTCTTATCTTCCATAGTCAACAGCAAGACCCACAAGGCTGCCTTCAAGATACATCTCAGGACCACCCACTGTTCATCATCTCTACAGTCGTTACGTTGCTTTAGGCCTTATTGTCATCTTATTGCAGTGAGCTCCCAATGGTCTTCCTGTTTTAAGACTTGCCCTCCATAATCCATTCTCGAATTAGCAGTTAGAATGATAATCTTAAATGAAAATTGAGTTGCTCCATTGCACAAAACTGTTAAATAGCTTTCTATAGTTTTTAGAACAAAATAAAAAATTTCTACTGTGTCCCGCAGAAACTTTCATGATCATGCCCTCATCCCCCTTCCCAGTCTTTCCTTATGTCACTCTCTGCCTTGTTTCTACCCTCAAACTCCCTGGACTTCAGATAGATTCTAGAATACACAAAGCCCTCTTCAGCCCCATGGCTTTATACTTAATGTTCCCAATGCCTGAAACACCCCTCCCTTGGCTCTGCTGATGGCTGGCACATTCTCACCTGTCAGACCTCTCTTTAAATGCTGCTTTTCCAGAGAAGTCTTAGTGACCAGCCTACTCAAAGCCACTTCTACTTGCTGTTCTCTATCATAGAATAAAGTTTACTTCCTTTATTGGTACTTCTCTCACAATTCATTAAAATTCTGTGTGTTTGTTTACTCTTCTCTTGCTTGTCTTAGCCACTATCACAATGTGAATTCCTGCTTTATTCTTGGCTATATCCCTAACACCTAACACAGTGCCTGGGACATGAATGAATGAAGTCAAATTCAATCAATGAGGGAATAGCCAACTTGGTGAAATACCTTTGCAATCTACAGACCTTACCCTACAGCTGAAATATGTGAAGAATGAATGGCCCCGATCAAATCTCCCTCTGCAAGACACCTGAGGTCAAAATGCATGTGGCAGGATTTACTATTTTCCAGCCTCCAGAATCAGAAGATTGAAAAACAATATGTGGAGCATGGATTCATTTTCCTTTTTCTTCCCCTTCCATCCGCCACCTCCCAAATCACCTGACGCGTAGTTCAGGGATCTTGGAATACTGATGGATGGATTATTTTCCTTGCTGTGAATTTTTGTTACAAGAATTTCCCCAAAACTTAAAAGACAAAGCAAAACAAAAGCTATGTATCCTTTCAGTGTCTAACATGACCTATCTGACTCTATGGGAATGCAACTGTGTCTGAGTATTATGTGCTATTGATTGGAGCTTAAACACAGTAAAGTTGGATATTAACTGACAGAGTACAGATGGTTTTTATCCAGAAAGGGTGAAAATAATTTGTGTCCAGCAGAGAAGGGAACTCTCAAGGTTGCGATTTTATTGATCTGTTGACTAATTTTGTATCTAATTTAGCAATCGTTTTCCAGCATTCTTTCTTTATAGTTTCACCAACTATTGTGGCATCACTTCCCTCTATCTGTCTTTGAACCAGTTTGGACATCTTGTCTACCTTCTTATTAATGAGTTGAATATATCCCTAACATGCTCATATTTGTATGAGAATTACACTTTTAGCTTTGTAAAAGTTGGAAGACCAATTTTCACTATTGTATCATGGCCTATATATTCATGCTTAGCTGCAGAATGTGGAGAAGTTTAGGGTTTTCAGACAAAAAAACAAAAAAAACAAAAAAACAAAAAAGAAAAAGCTTTTCCCCTCTGCAATCCCTATGGGTAACATTAGTCAGACCTCAAAATGTAGCTTCCACGGATCAGGCCCCTTATAACTCCACATCCCTCCATCCTCAACAAAACAATGCCACTTGGAGACTGTGGAGGTCTCCTGATCTGTGGAGCAGGGGAGGAGCACCAAATGTGGGGTGACCACTGGGTGGAGCCTGGCAGTGGGGCAGTGCAAGAATTCACCTGAGACAGAACAAGAGCTAGGAATTTATTGAATCTACTGCAAGGAAGAAGCTGGCAGGACAGCAAGGGAGTGACCGTCTGCTGTGAGACAGTGATGGGGGGCTATAGTTAAGGAGGAAGGTGAGGAGGTGTGAGAACATATGGAATTTTGCGTTTTTGCTAACTCTGGGTGAAAGTTACGTATTGGTCAGCTAGGGCTTATGGATATTTTGAGGTGGGTCACCTAATGGGCCTGTTTTCAGCCAAGGGGTGGCTTTGGGCCCTTCTACCTTACACATGTTTCCATGGTTCAAGTTGGTTGCCTAAAAGCAACCTCAACAGAATCCTTTGAAAGAATGTGATCGGCAGCTACATCTCTGACTCCAACATAATAACATTGTTTTCATGTTCCTGTCCTCATTTTGTAAGAGCAGAGACACAAATGATTTGCTAGAAAAAAAAATCCCCATGGCTTTCTTTCTTTTACTTGCCAAATGTCTTCTTCATCCAGGCTTTTATGGAATCTCCATGTAGTACAAGGTCTATAATTTGACAATAGAATTGCTGTTTCATTGAAGAGTTACAAATTCGCAATTCTCATTTTCTTGAAGCCCAGATCATGTCTCATATCTTTGACTAATGTGAGCAGTCCCAACCACAACAAGCAACAATGATTCCAGCCCTAACTGACATCATGGTGACAGCCAAAGGCAGAAAGTACAGTGTGAGGTATTGAACAGGGAGACCTGAGTTCTAGTCTCACTTTGCATTTATCCAGTAGGTAACTCTGAAGAAGTGACATCATCACTCCATACCCTGTTTTTCTCCATCTGTAAATCAGAGGAGAAATGTAGTATATGTCAAACACTGTGTTGGCCTCTGAGGAAACAAATATGAATATGAGTCTCATTTCCTGATTTTGGGGAGCTTAGAGTCTAATGCATAAAAAGCACAAAATAGAAAATTTCAAACTGAGATTGTCGTGAGTATAAAAAAGAATAAAAGAGCACCCATCCTAGGGAAGGCTAAGCTGGGTTTTAGAGGATGACAAGGAATTAACCAGTGAGGAAGGACATTCCAGGTAGAGGGACCTGCATGGTCAGTAGCTTATGCACGTAAACTAGCATCTTACACACAAGGGTGCATCACTGCGAACACATCACTGACAATGAACCCCCAAATGGGAGGCTGAGTAACTTTGCTATGAACAAAGGAGACAGTGGACTGTGCAGGAGGCAGGAGAGAGAATAGCCGGTCACAATCTGCCCATCTCCATGCACACCTGGTCTTGTTGCCCATCTCTGTGCTGACATCATCACCCTTCCAGGTATGGAAACCAGAGATCTAAAGATATCCATGACACCTCCTTCACCCACCCCTCATATCCAGTCCATCATTAAGTGTTGCCAATTTTGTATGACCATCTGCATTTATTTTTTTCTTTAAAGATTTCATTTATTTGAGAGAGAGAGAGAGAACACAAGCCAGCAGGAGCAAGAGGAGGGACAGAGGGAGAGGGAGAAGTAGACTCCCCGCTGAGCAGGAGCCTGACATGGAGCTCAATACCGGAACCCTGAGATCATGACCTGAGCTGAAGGCAGATGCTTAACTGAATGAGCCACCCAGACGCCCCATGACCATCTGAATTTCTGTCACTTAAATTCAAGATAGAGTCATCTCTTCCCTGGGCTACAGTTGTATTTACTTCGGTCTACTTACATTCCTTTCAATCTCGTTTTCTCATTGCAGCCAAGATAATCTCAAAATGCTAATCCAATCATACCCACGTACCTGGCACCCTGGTGCCTCCTCCACCCTCACCTCTGGCTTAAAGCCATCCAGTGCTTTCCTGATTGCCTCTCTCATCGCTTACCATGCCCCCCTTACTTTTGGGAGAGAGCAGTAGTCCTCTACTCATTGTATCTCCTGTCACTGGTCCTATTGTTGCCTGGACTGTCTTCCTTCTTGTCTTCACTTAGCTAACCCCTTAATTCTTCAGATACTAGCTCAAGGGCCAGTTCACTGGGGAAGCCTTCCATGACCTTCATGCCCAGCAAGATTCTGTTATATACTTTCACAAGGCTTCACATTTTTACTTCATAGCACATATCATAGTTGTAATTTTACATCTATTTGTTTACTCACTTCCCTTCATGAGTATGTAATACTTAAAGGAAGTGGCTGGCTCTGGTGTTGCTCACCTCCCAGCCCTACAGGTACATAATAGATAAGGGAAAGAGTGAGCCCATGAAGTCAGTAGTCAGGGGGCAAAGATTAGGGTCAACAGTGGCCACTGTCATGAAAAGCCTTGTAAAACGATAGAACCCATATAAAAGGATGTGGATCTTATTCTGTGGAGCCTCTGGATGGTTCCAAACTGAGGGA